AAAAGGGACTAAATAGATTCGAACTCTTTCAGTGTCAGGTCGTTCCCAGGTCACAATGATGCCATTGTAGATCTTGAACAGAAAGCGGAAGAAGCGGTGCACTCTGACCTATTGCACGACACACTTTTTCTTTTTGGCACTATATATGGCCCGCATTTTTGATGTTTTTCATACCAAAAGTTCTTTGATTCTCTGTAGAATACTTTGTAGTTTTTAGCTCTTTTGCTCCCTAGTTCCCGGCTGCCTTAGTGAGGCCTTGCGCCATCAACGTGATGGTAACTAGAAGCTCTCGGAATAGAGTTTGCCCGCATAATCCCGGTTTCGCTAGAAACTCTCTATAAGTTAGGTTACACTAACTATGTTTTAAGTGTAACTTTTATTATGTTCATAGTCGTTGTTATGGATATGTACATAAAGATTTATTAGTAATCCCATTAATACTGATAAATTTACTTACGTGAGAGGTGTCAAGAATGATCACATTGGCTTGGTTGTTGGATTTCAAAAAGGCTATATGGTGAAATGGTCTTGCCTCCCGACTGTTCGGCCTGGTTGATCCTTACTTTGTAGAACTCTCGACATTCATTTGGATTAATAAAAAAATCTAGCTTTCATTACCAGATCGTCATAGAAATTAATAAGTTAAAGTATTATAGGTTAATACATGTTCGGTGCGTTGTTCGTCAGTTGAATCGCTAGTAGAATCACTCAGAAAGCTATCAATCTTCTGCGTAATTGTCCAGGTTAGTTATCTCACTATATCATGTGTTACAATATATATATATATATATATATATATATATATATATATATATATATATATATATATATATATATATATATATATATATATATATATGTTAGGACATAGGAGTAAATAGAATAGACTCAATAATATAGCCTCTTTGTGCCCGTATTAGTAGAACTTAATGTGTAGTCTTTATGTATGGTTATGTATGTTGGGCGGGACCCGCCATCTACTTTGGGTGGGGACCGATTGTGCGGGGCCTACTAGGTGATGAGGGTCGGGCTCATTTGTATGCATGTATATGTATTGTGGTATATGTTATTTTAAGGAACTCACTAAGCCTAATACTTACCCAGTTGTTTATAAATATTTTTTAGGCATTCATGTGAAGAACAATGTTCGACTGTACACACACGCATTCACAACATGTTGATTAAAAAAAATTGGTCCACATAATGTAATAATACTATGATATATATTTGAATAAATAAAAATAAAAAATTTTGGGTTAAAAATTGGGACGTTACACAACCCCTCAAATCTAGTGGTCGTCTCGAAGAGAGTATTTTTTTTGGTGGCGGTGGACAATTGCTTTCAGTAGTTTCAACACATCCGGTGGACAATGGTAGTTAGTGGTGGTGTATTGTTGTATAGATGGTTGTGGCGATGAAACATCCAAGTTCGTCGGAAGTTCTTGAAAAAAAAATAAAGAAAGAAAGAGAATAAATTTTAAGACAATATAAAACAGTTATTTCAATAAAATAATAAGAATAATATATTAGAATAAAAACGATAATTAATATGGTTAAACGACACTTAAATTCTTAAAATGATACTTAAAATTTTAATGTACATATTTTGAAACGTGTGGTACAAGTATCTAAAGCATGAAAGAGAAATGTGAGTTGTGAATGGTCACCAATCCAATGAACCGCACCATTTTGAACTCGTTGGGCGGAGCCGCAAGGTCGATGGTCCCACCTGCACAGTCTTCATTTTCAAACCAAAAAGACACAAAACCATGCACCCTTAAAATTATTCGAAACATAAGAAAATTTAAGAATCCCCTTCGATGGACATATATGATGGGATTAATCAGTGACATGCTTTCATGTAGCAACCCCTATTAGGGTATCACTCTTTTGAATGGTAATTATTCTTTTCCTTTTTAGATTTTCGTAGGCAAAAAGACAGAAGCTATGTTTACCGACCACTAACTAAAAGGATGGTTATTACTAATATACATAATTGTACTGTGCAATTAAAAATTTAACCTTTATATACGTACCATTTTCCAACTCTCTCTCTCTCTCTCTCTCTCTCTCTCTCTCTCTCTCTCTCTCTCTCTCTCTCTCTCTCTCTCTCTCTCTCTCTCTCTCTCTCTCTCTCTCAATATTTATTGTATAGCTTTATCAAAGATTATTTGATCAAACATTGAAATATGAAGGTTCGGTGGTCCCAAGCAGCACCCATCATGGGGACAGACGAGCCAAGTCATATATATATATATATATATATATATATATATATATATATATATATATATATATATATATATATATATATATATATATATATATATATAGAGGTGGGTTCAATTGAGAAAATAAAAAATGTTAAAAATTAGGGAATCATTCTCAGCTATTCATTTTATTCAAGCATAAAAAAACACGGTGGCAAACTTGTAAATATGAGAACAACCTTCAATCTCAAATACGTATCTGTAGTTCAAACCCATTCATCGTTCATCATCCAAATTTCTTCTCCAATTTTCAACAATCATCCATATTTCTTCAATTAAACCATCATCAACATTATCCAGTGCTAATCAATCATCGATCTTCGTCAATAATCAACACGATTCAACAGTTAACAACAAAAATTCGTTTTTGGTTCTTTTAATTCAACCTTCAATTGTGCTTGAATACGATCAGATCTTCAACATCTATGATTAATTATACTCCCAGCGTTATTAGATCAACATCATTGATAATCAACAAAAATCCACTTCATATCATTAACTCAACATCGATTATCAAATAAAACTTGAAAACTGAGGTTAGAAAAATATCAAATCGTTTTTTTTTTTTTTTTTTTTTTTTTTTAAATTTCATATAATTCTCTATCAATTCACTCTTTTGTAAGATTTAAATAGTCAAAATATCATGTTTTTAATATTTTTAAAAAAAAGTTAAATTGTATACACTTCAACTGTTTGATGAAATGCATGAACTAAATTACCATGTTATATTCATATATGAATATGTTTTCTCAGTATATGATTATTAAAATAAAAAAACAAATATGCAAATCTGTATGTTATTCATATGTGAATAACATATAAAAATTATATATATTTGTGAAAATACATTGTAATATTCATATGTGAATATACTGTGTAATATTCATAAGTGAATATATCATCTAATATTCACAAATGAATATACTATGTAATATTCATATGTGATATACCATGTAATACTATGTAATATTCAGATATGAAAATATTATCTAATATTCATAAGTGAATATACCATCTAATATTCACAAATGAATATACTATGTAATATTCATAAGTGAATGCATCGTCTAATATTTAAATATGAATATATTATGTTTATTATATGCTATATTCATATACGAATGGTACTTGAACTGTTAAAAAAAAAATTAATCATAGTTTTTATTCATAACTGAATAACGAATGTACTGTAGTAAAAACCTGATTCATTTTTATTCACGTATGAATAACGATAGCTAAAAATATAATTTTTTTTTTATTTTATCTTAAAACTATATCAATATGGATGTCTATTTGTAGAGAATAAAAAATCATGAATTTTGGTATATTTAAAATCATTTTTCGATAAAAATAGTTTCTTAAAAATTAAAAAAAAAAAAACGAAGAAACTATGTTTTTGTATATATTAAGGTAATGATTAGTATAGTTTAAGGAAACATGTTTTGTTGGAAAACACATGTCTATTCCTTTCCCATTTCTGCAGGTACGACGGAGGCTTTTGCGGCAAAAATAAATGAGTGACTGAGAATGATTCCCCCATTCTCAACCTTTTTTTTTCTCAATTGAACCCTCTCTTTTTCTCTCTCTCTCTCTCTCTCTCTATATATATATATATATATATATATATATATATATATATATATATATATATATATATGTATATATATATATAGGAAACGTGAATATACCCTTGAAGATATATAAGCTTAGGTACTCAAACTTATCATACTACGTCGTTTTGTATCATCTAATACATTGTAATTGTCCAATATTCTTATAAGTTAACTTCTAATCTGATCTACTTCCATTATTTTTATAAATTACACATTTATCTTCCTCTTACATAATATTCATTTTCAACTACAATTTATATAGCCTAGTAGGTGTTTAGCAAAAAGAAACGATATAAGAGAAAAATAATAGTTAAATTCCGAAAATTTTGAAAGTACATCAAGTTAAGGATGAAATAAGAACAGTATAATGAATATATGAAACTAAACGACGTATTATGGTGTGTTTGGGTACTTAAACTTATATACCCTTAAGGGTGTATTCACTTATATATATATATATATATATATATATATATATATATATATATATATATATATATATATATATATATATATAGTTAGGTTATTTTCTTTTTATTAACTATTGTGTGCCAGAATGCACAGATCTAGACCACGGGATGGAATAGAATTAAAGATCATGATCTGAGGGTCTATGATATTACAATAAAGTAACATATACCATATAATCATATAAATTTCAGCATAAGGGCATTTTAGTCAATTAACCTATATTAAAAAAGGATTTTTTTTTTCTGAATTTTTAGGGAGAATTTTTTTAATTTGAATATTTTAAATTAATTCAAAATAAAAATCTGGTTTTATTCTTTCAAAATGACAGAATGCTAACCATAAACTAGTAAATATATTTTCGATTTTATTTGTGCAAAATACATTTCCAATACAGTTGTATTATGATAATTGACCTGATTTAAGAATAAGATATTATTCATATACATCCAACTTGGATCTATGATTTTATTCTTAATATACATCCAAAATTAAATACAAATTCATACATATTCTTATAGACTAATATCCTTATACAATTTAATATACTTATACATATTCTAACAAAATATCATCAAAAAATGAATAAAAATCTTAAAAAATAGCATTTTTGAAAACACAATTGTTGAACAAATACACTTGGTCTTCTTCAGTGGTCCATATAATCTATTTGATCTTCGCATATATACCTATTGTTGAACTCGATTCCAAATATTTCTCTTGTATGATCAATATTGAATTCATTCTCCATGCAATTCTGAAAAGAATAAGAAACATTACTCGTTAAACAAATTCTGATAGAATGCATTTATATAAATAAATTATGATATAATACATTGAAGTATTTCCCGTTAAACAAATATACTTGTTGTTAACAAACATTCTCAAAATCTTTCTAACAAAATACGTTTATATATATAAATTCTGACATAATACATTTTTGAAATAATACTCTATCATTGACCTAAAAATAGAATAAGTAAATTTTGTTGATAAACTAGATGACAAATGTAGGTCGGTGTATTAATAAGTGAATTTTGTTGCCTCTTTTTTTCAAATCAAGATCATTCAATCTACCAAATGAAACATCTTGATAGAAGAAAAACATGGAAATAAGATTGGCATAAACTAAAAAGACAAGAAGATTTACATCATTAACAATTGGTAATGGAAGATGCAAGCATCAATGCTGCTATATCTAAGATTCACGAATGAGGAATCTTACACTGTGAGCATTATATTAATAAGTTTAAAGCAAAGGATTCGAATTTTTGTATGTTCAAAAATGCCAATGGTAACAATCATTATTGCAACTATATTACATCCAAAACCTCGTTTCCCCTAATTTATTGAGTTTTTTCTTTTCAGATTAAACAAAAATAATTGTATAACTTTACAACAAATTCTCCACATAACTCAACTCGTCTTCATATGTATACAAATGATTACAGAAATGCAACTTTTGGTTAAAAAAAAACGTACCTGTAAGACACCATAGATGACGAGAGTAGACATAATTCCGACAACATCAAAAGTACCCTTTAAGAATTTGTTCTCCTTGGCATCTAGTAACGATAGGTTAGTCATACTACCATCCATTAGCAAAACCCCGACCACCGCCGGTTTCGAAGGCAGTTTATGTGTATATCTACGACCAATTGAAATACAGAAAAACAAAGATGTTAGATAACCCCTAGGATCAGTCAGAAACCCATAACTGTCGATTGAAGGGAAAGCTTTTGAATTTATTAAATTATAATTCAAAGTATACATACCTGACGATGGTTCCTGATGGTGTTGGCCGACAAATAAGTCCAGCTCCAATCCTCCTGTCTTCTTCGATCGCATAGTTTCTCGATTCTTATTTCCGATTCCGAAGTCTTTCCCTCTGGTGCTCCTGTCATCTTTGACCGTGGGTGGTCGATTGCATAGCACAAAGACTCGGCGATGGAGATGATAACGGTGGTGGTCAGCAGCCAAGATAATGATGGTTGTGGACGGTTTTTTTTAGAGAAAGACAAAGAAAAGGTGTTGGTGTTATAGGTTTTAAAAATGATAACCTAATTTAAAGGGTGATTTTATTAATTTACCATAACTAATTATAGTATAGATTACTATCATACCCTTATATTTATTATTAATGATTTATTAATTCTTGAAGTCTCATTGGTGCATACATGCACACAATAGTTGCTAGAAATATTTAAACATAGCTCTCTCTCTCTCTCTCTCTCTCTCTATATATATATATATATATATATATATATATATATATATATATATATATATATATATATATATATACGCGCACACACACACACACAGAGAGAGAGAGAGAGAGAGAGTACAATCGAGAACAAAATTTTTAGAATAAAGAATCAATCTCAACCATATATTTATTTTTCCACAAAACACTTAGTCGTACCGACAAAAATGGGCAAAGGATACATATTTGTTTTTCAAACAAAACATGTTTCCTTAAACTATGTTAATCATTACCTTAATATATATAAAAATATAGTTTTTTTTCGTTTTTTTAATTTTTAAGAAAATATTTTTATCAAAAAATGATTTTAAATATATCAAATTTCATAATTTCTTTTTCTATAAATATAAATTAATAGTGATTTAGTTTTAATATAAAATAATTTTTTTATTTTTGTATAGATTCATCTCTCGTTATTTTTAAGTGAATAAAAATGTATCATATTTTTATTATAGTATATTCGTTATTCATTTATGAAGAAAACGTATGTTTTATTTTTCTTTTTACATTTTAAGAATCATTCATATATGAATATAACACATAATAAAGTTTATTACCTAAAATATATTTTTTATATCATCTTTTGTCACATGTTATATTTAAATATGAATAAAACATGTATTAGCTGTCGTCATATGTTATATTCATATATGAATACAAAAGTTATCAAGATTTGTGTTACAGTTCATTTGTTATTCATATATGAATAAGTAGTATGTTAATAAAACACGAAATGTTTTAAAAATTCGAACTACTTATTCATATATGAATAAAAAATGAACTCTAACAAAATTCTAATAAATGCGCCATTCGCATATGAATATAATTTGTGAGAAGAAATAATACACATTTTATTCATATGTGAATAACAAATGTACAACTTATTAATGTATGAGTGATACTTAAATGATTTATTAATAATTGAATAACGAATGTACTGTAATAAAACTTTGATATACTTTTATTCACATATAAATAAAAACATATTTTAGGTATGAAATTTTTTTGTTACATATTATATTAATATATGAATACTACTTAAACTGTAAAAAAATATAAACATACTTTTTATTCACAAGTGAATAACAAATATACTGTAATAAAAATCCGTTTCACTTTTATTCACTTATGAATAACGAGAGCTGAAACTATAAAAAAAAATAAAAATTTTATTTTATCACAAAATCATATCAATATTGATGTTTATTTATAGAGAATAAATAAATATGAATTTTGATACGTTTAAAACCATTTTTCGATAAAAATAGCTCCTTAAAAATTCAAAAGAAAACGAAAAAAAAAACTTTGTTTTGTATATATAAAGGTAATGATTAACATAATTGTAGAAAATATATTAATACTTTGAAAACACACGTGAATATAGTTGCCCCTTTCCATTGATACAATAGAGTGTTTTGCGGCAAAATAAATGTGTGGTCGAGATTGATTCCCTCATTCTAAACCTATTTTTTCAATTCAACTTATATATATATATATATATATATATATATATATATATATACACACACACACACACACACACACACAAAGAGAGAGAGAGAGAGAGAGAGAGAGAGAGAGGGGAAAGGTCTTTTAAAAACTAATTGATTTGTGAGAAGTTGAGAACTCCTAATCCACTTATTTTTTTTCAAAACCAAAACCATTAATATTAACGAAATACAACATCTAAGAGGGATAAAGGCTAAAAAAAGATTTTATGAACTTTTTTTTGGAAATATGCATATCTAAAATGTAACGCCTGATTCATGGTATGTATTTAAATAAAAATTCATTCATTTTTACAAAGCAACTTGACAAGTTGGTAGCCCCAAACTCGTCGAGTAAAGATTAGAAGGGACACAAGTTTTTAAGAAACCTACTCGATGAGTTGAGTGCCCCCAACTCGACGAGTAGGGCTGCAAGGATGAAACCCTAATTTTGTTGTTTTGCATCCTATGTAAGCATCTTAATCCCCACTTGCTAGCCTCATTTCCAGCCTCCAAATCTGTGACATCCCCAAAATCACGGCAAGAAAAAACCGATTTTGTTTATGATTTGTAAAAATCAGAATACTTCTTTTCATAAAAATGTTGCGGAATTTATTCCCAGAAAAACACGATAACTATGTTATCAAAACATTTTCGAAGAAACGTATTTTATTCATTTTTTAAAACGTTTGGGATGTCATTGTCAATACAGAAAGATAAGCATAAACGGAACTTACATTTATTTACACTAGTGATCTACATCTCTTTAATCTCTCAGTGCAATGTGACTTCATATCAACACTTGTGATTTAAATAAACTGAGTGGGTCAGGTTGGGAAACCTGGTGAGTACATAGGGTTTTCAACCCACAATAATATAATTATTATGTTTAAACAATTAAACAATCAACCCAATTACCCATCCCCATTATCATCTTTAGTCTTAAGGATCTACCCTAAGAATCAGCTATTCCTCGTTCATTCATTCCTAAGGAATCGGCACGAAGTCCATCGTTGCCACGGTTTACACAACGGGCACTAAGTCTGCATAGTCGCCAGGGGTTAGGCATCAAGTCCGCATGATCACCAAGGTTTAGGTATCAAGTCTGCATGATCACCAGGGTTTAGGCATCAAGTCTGCATGATCACCAGGGTTTAGGCATCAATTCTGCATGATCACTAAGGTTTAGATTACACCGGGTGAACACATCTTTCACAACACTTACAGGTTGTGAGCCTTCTAGTGTTCCACTGGACTATCTAGAATAGTCCGTGGTTGTCATCCATACTCTGCTGAATGACGGGGCCATCGTTTGGGAAAAGGCTTCTCACATCGTCCACCTCTCACCCTCACCTCGTGGTCTATAACACCTCTCAACTCATCATCAAACTCATATTCCATCTATTACATCTACCCATGTTTTACCTCAACATTATTGTAGATATAAAATACATATACAGTTTAAATCATTTAAAACATGTATAAAATCGTTCATCCAGCATATACAGCAAGTACTCAGATAATATGCACACATAGCACGTAATTTATATAAAATACTTCATATCTATGTGTAAGATGAAAGTAACTATGCACTCACTTGATAAGGTGATGACTCGGTATACAAACAACACTTCGTTACTGTTAAAACAATTTCCCTCAGACAAAACCTAGTATCATTACCACTAGAGTTTAGACTAGTGTTAACCGCGACTAATTAATAGTCTAGATATTATTACTATTATATAAGTGTTAAGAAACACTCTTATATAACTCATAATAATAGCCCAAATACTCATTATAAGTTCCTAATAACGTTACTATATTAAAACATAAGCTATACTAAAGATAGGGTAGGCATAGCTCACTTACAGCGGGTTTTTCTCAAAACCGGGCGCCGCTAGAGCAGAGTTCCCAAGCCGAAAGGCTCTTATTCTCGGAGCCATCGGGCGCTCCGGGGCTTCCGCCTCGTGCTAGGAGGTTCCCTAGGCTTTTCGGGGGGTTTTGGGGCTAGAGAGAAGTTATAGAGATAGAGGGAAGTGAGGAGAGGTGTGAGGAATGGATAGAGGCCTCAACACTTATTTATAGGGTCTGCAGGAAGGTTCACGTTGTGAGCCAGGCTGGCTACAGCCAGGCGCAGCCTGGTGCTGGCACGTGGCATCGCACAAAGGGTGGAAATCAGTCGATATTCAAAAATTCATAACTTTCGCATACGAACTCCGTTTTTGACGTTCTTTATATCCACCCATAGGTAGAAACAAGATCTACAACTTTCATTTAGACTCCATCGGTTATTTCTTGATCGATCTTAAATTTATCGGTAGGAGGAAATTAGACTGCTAAATGATCGCGAAGAATTCGTAACTCCTTCATATGGAATCCGTTTTCGTCTATCTTTTTACGGTTGAGTTCCTATTAATGTGATCTTTATCTCTCATTAAGGTGGCATAAGCCAAAAACCGCTCGAACTAAAATTCGATTTTCGGGCCGTGCACTGCTATACCAAATCTTAGAAAAATCATAACTTCCTCATACGAAGTCAGATTTGGACGTTCTTTTTTTTTTGTATGTTCTCGGTTTAATGTATACTACAAATTTTGTTTAGATCACTAAGGCTAAAAATTCCTCTATCTTAAATTCACTATTTACGTCTCCCGGTGTCGTGCCGGTTTTGCCGAAAAACTTCGACGGGACATAACTTCTTCGTTATAACTCGGATTTCGGCGTTCTTTATATGTACGGAACCCTTGAGACATATTCTAAAACTTAGTTAAGATTATTTATTCTAGATAATTTTTTTTCCGAAAAGTCATTTTCTACCCCTATTATCTATAAATTGACTAACCCGGATCTACGAGCGTTACAATTATCTCCCCCTTAAGATGATTACGTCCCGGAATCATCAAAGAAACATGGCTCGTATAATGACTCCATACGTTATATCTTCATCCTAGGTAATATTTATAACTTCTATATTCCTTCGGAGCTATCTCTTAGACTTATTGACTGCAAGCAGTACTCGATCTTACACCTGCTCTTTATCTCAGGTTAGACTCCAAATTATGACCTTCAAGTCACAATCTCGATCCTTACTAGAT